TGAATGTCTCAACAGAAATCGAGACTCATCAGACCAGGCAACATTTTTCCAGTCTTCAACTGTCCAATTTCGGTGAGCTCTTGCAAATTGTAGCCTCTTTTTCCTATTTGTTGTGGAGATGAGTGGTACCCGGTGGGGTCTTCTGCTGTTGTAGCCCATCCGCCTCAAGGTTGTGTATGTTGTGGCTTCACAAATGCTTTGCTGTATACCTCGGTTGTAACGAGTGGTTATTTTAGTCAAAGTTGCCTTCTATCAGCTTGAATCAGTCAGCCCATTCTCCTCTGACCTCTAGCATCAACAAGGCATTTTCGCCCACAGGACTGCCGCATACTGGATGTTTTTCCCTTTTCACACCATTCTTTGTAAACCTTAGAAATGGTTGTGCATGAAAACCCCAGTAACTGAGCAGATTGTGAAATACTCAGACCGACCCGTTTGGCACCAACAACCATGCCACGCTCAAAATTGCTTAAATCACCTTTCTTTCCCATTCTGACATTCAATTTGGAGTTCAGGGGATTGTCTTGACCAGGACCACACCCCTAAATGCATTGAAGCAACTGCCATGTGATTGGTTGATTAGATAATTGCATTAATGAGTAATTGAACAGGCGTTCCTAATAATCCTTTAGGTGAGTGTATAACAAAATAATGAATCCTTAACTTTGAAATATGTATGATAAAATGTATTTGCCTACCAAGACATTTTTGGAAAAAGACAAAAAAATTTTCAAGTAGTTTACAACTCTAACTTTGAACCAATTCTGTAGAATGGCCCATATAGCCTATTTGAACAGGATTTGTTTCCAGGTTTGACTAAAAATGTGCTTTTGACTTTCATTTATATTTTGATTTTATATATATATATATACACTCACCGGCCACTTTATTAGGTACCCCATGCTAGTAACGGGTTGGACCCCCTTTTGCCTTCAGAACTGCCTCAATTCTTCGTGGCATAGATTCAACAAGGTGCTGGAAGCATTCCTCAGGGAGTTTGGTCCATATTGACATGATGGCATCACACAGTTGCCGCAGATTTGTCGGCTGCACATCCATGATGCGAATCTCCCGTTCCACCACATCCCAAAGATGCTCTATTGGGTTGAGATCTGGTGACTGTGGAGGCCATTTTAGTACAGTGAACTCATTGTCATGTTCAAGAAACCAATTTGAAATGATTAGAGCTTTGTGACATGGTGGAAGTAGCCATCAGAGGATGGGTACATGGTGGCCATAAAGGGATGGACATGGTCAGAAACAATGCTCAGGTAGGCCGTGGCATTTAAACGATGCCCAATTGGCACTAAGGGGCCTAAAGTGTGCCAGGAAAACATCCCCCACACCATTACACCACCACCACCAGCCTGCACAGTGGTAACAAGGCATGATGGTTCCATGTTCTCATTCTGTTTACGCCAAATTCTGACTCTAACATTGGAATGTCTCAACAGAAATCGAGACTCATCAGACCAGGCAACATTTTTCCAGTCTTCAACTGTTCAATTTTGGTGAGCTCTTGCAAATTGTAGCCTCTTTTTCCTATTTGTAGTGGAGATGAGTGGTACCCGGTGGAGTCTTCTGCTGTTGTAGCCCATCCGCCTCAAGGTTGTGCGTGTTGTGGCTTCACAAATGCTTTGCTGCATACCTCGGTTGTAACGAGTGGTTATTTCAGTCACTGTTGCCCTTCTATCAGCTCGAACCAGTCTGGCCATTCTCCTCTGACCTCTAGCATCAACAAGGCATTTCCGCCCACAGAACTGCAGCTCACTGGATGTTTTTTCTTTTTCGGACCATTCTCTGTAAACCCTAGAGATGGTTGTGCGTGAAAATCCCAGTAGATTAGCAGTTTCTGAAATACTCAGACCAGCCCTTCTGGCACCAACAATCATGCCACGTTCAAAGTCACTCAAATCACCTTTCTTCCCCATACTGATGCTCGGTTTGAACTGCAGGAGATTGTCTTGACCATGTCTACATGCCTAAATGCACTGAGTTGCCGCCATGTGATTGGCTGCTTAGAAATTAAGTGTTAACGAGCAGTTGGACAGGTGTACCTAATAAAGTGGCCGGTGAGTGTATATATATACACACACACACAAGGACCAAGGAACATGGCCAGAAACACGCAAAAACAGAACATACTGTATATGGTCAGCAGAACAGGACCATTAGGTAACGTCTATAGGTCAAGGGAACGTGACCGCCAAATAACATGCATTCCTCAGATGACCTTATAACATTTTGATATCCCTCATGTTGAAACCCTTGTGGTTTGTATGGATATTTGGAGTCCAGTAACAACATTTCTTGTTGTTGTGGTCTCAAAACCTATAGAGAACATGCACTCTTGATGAAAAGTAGATAACTTATAGTGACAATAGAACAATGACCTAGCAGACTAACACTCCCAAATTTAGTGAGCTCTAACCAAACATTACATTGTTAGAATTCAAAATATAAGATTAACATTTTAATATTATTTCATTGTCTATGGATTAAATCCTGTGTACATGTTAACCAGTCACCAACTGTGTCAAGTATAGATTAAATCCTTGCCCAGTTGACAAGGGCTGTGGGCAGACAGAGCATTTCAAAATTCCATATATAAAGCACCAGGAAAGTAGCCTAGAAATCTAGACGCACCCTAGCGGCAGCGAAAATAATTTCGCAGCCAGTGTGGTCTAGCAACTCTCCATAGACTTTTGAGCTGGAAAAACCAAAAACTGGTCAGGCCAATCACATCGTGTATAGAGTCGGCGGGCGGGCTTAACACAATGACGGCACAGTTCATGACGTTCCGCGTGATTTACATTGGTGATTTCCCTGCTACTTGAAAACAATGAAGATGCAGCGGTCTTTCGAATCGGCTTTGGCCGCGACTCTGGAGGACTTTGAGTTAAGAGAACGTCACTCAAGTCATTCTTAAAAAAGGAAGATGTGTTCGGATTTTTGCCGTCCTGATACGGCAAAAGTTTAATATATCAATTAGCTCCGCTGGTGGAAAAACGCATGGGACTCACTCATCCACAACCGTTCGTTGCTCTGGTTGGTTGTAGCGCTATCCTATTGCGTGCAGAGGGATTTTGAAAGGTAACCGTTTATCCCGCCCCTCGGATTGAGGTATGCCAATGGAGAGTTCCCAGACCTAACATCTTGATGTAGGTCTGGCATGCCAGGCTACCAGGAAAGTGATATTATCAATTAATGATGTGTTGATATGAAACACAGGCCAATAGCATATTAAACCTATGTGGCTTGTAATATACACAATAGGAACTAAGTTTGCATAACTTACACACAGCGTGTAGTGCCCAGGGGTCCACAATGGAATAATCAAGGCATCTTTCATGTGCGAATTCACCTAATTAAAAGAGGCAAAAAAATTGTACTGTCATGTACTAAAAGGATGATGGTGGTTAAATACTGGTCAACACTTTTGTTGATGTAACTGAAATCCTTACATGTCACCCTTACTTCTACTTTAATTTAGCATACAGACGACATACATAGCTGCTAGAGCAAACAGGACTCAGTGATTTGCCCAAGTGTCACCCTGTTTGCAAAACCTATGTGTCCCAATAAAGCAGCAAACTGACATTCACAGTCTGATTTCACGAAAACTGTTTCTTACCGGAAAACTGGAAAGGGGAGATTGATTAATGGGTGGGAGCCAAGTTGGAGGAACATAGAGATCAATGATGAAAACGTCTTTTCCCTGCAGAATGTCAATCATTCCAATAAGATAAATGCCTTGAAATAAAAAAAAATTCCTCTCCAAATTTACAATAAATATAACATCGAACCTGCAACTGTAGAATCTCTCTGAGTATCCTAAAACATCCATTTCCGACCTATAAATTAAATATATTATTTATACTAATCATTCGTAAAAGTGTATTTGCTGCAAGTACTCATTGTGTGTTTACCGACCGTGGATTCCAATTCTTTTTTCAGGCCGAGGGTTTGAAAGTCTAATCTGGTGATGCATGTTACTCCATCTTTCACAATCAGCTCATTCCCGGGCTTACTCTGATCCAGGACATAGTTTATCTGAAATTTTTTAAAGCAAACACTAAAATTATGTATGACAAAATAATGCAAAACAAAGATTGTGAGATACATATGAAAAGGTGTTCGATATAAAGTTCATGTGTACCAACTGCTCCTGAAGAGGATGATGTCCCAGAGTCCAGCATGATCGAGAAGGCTTGAGGTTTACTGGTAGAATCAACTCTTGACAGTGCTCACCACATTGGTTTTCAGGTTCTGTTGCTGAAATTAGATTAATGTTGTTGAAGACATTGTTAACTCATTTGATGGAGTATACATTTATCAGTGTACATTAATACATTCTTGATGCATGTCATTGAGTACTCAATTACAATTTAGGAACATGAATTTACTTTTTATAAACAAACAGTTTAACCTTGTACATACGTTTTTCAGATAACAAAACATCTGTAAAGAACCCAATTTTGCATATGTGTGGTCTAAAAATATATATACTTTAATATATACTTATACACATACTTAGTCTCCACTTTTTAAATATCATGTTTGTTTTGTCTAATGTTGCAGGAACAAAAATATAATTATTAAAATAATTAATAAAACATTTATGATATATAACAATAAATAATGTTATACATACCCTTTCCATCATGGGTGTGGCTTAAACTTAGGCTGGCCTGTTTGTTTAGACCGGTTTTTGAATTTGTTGCGGTTTTTGAATCTGTTTGTTGAGAACCTTTGAACAAAGTCAACAAATTATGATTCATAAAGAAATAGTAACACAGGCTTTATATTTGTTTGAAATGTGATAAATTCCAAGATATATTTTGTGTTTTGTGTTTCAGTGTGTGATAGGTCACACTCATGAAATGTTTTGGGTGCTATAATGTATTATGTAAACCAGTGAATATCAATTATTCTGTGTGAACCCTAATGGGCTATGAGTAATACATCGACGTGTGACGTAACAACCGTTTTAAGTTCTGTGATTTTGCCCGGTGATATTTTCCTAATTTGTGTAATCTTTTATTATTTATGATATGTGCATTTTAAGCTACAAAACCATGAAATCAAACAGTATGTTACAACTAGAATGTAAAAACATGAGATTGCAAGTGACTTACCGGAACATAGAACTGCCTGGCCATAGTCATTGAATTCAGTGTCAGTCACAAATGTCTTTCTGGCTCTTTTGATGAATTAATTGTTAGTCCTTTGATTGCGGTGGTGTACAATGCTTCTCAAAAGGAATATATTTGTTGCTGGTGCTGCGTTATTCAGGAAATAATTGTTTTTCCTCATTTGCGAAAAAAATTGTTCCACAACTTGGCTATTTATCTTCCCAGCAAGCTCAGGAACCAGAGAAATCTTCCTCAAGATGTCCCTTGGGTCTTTGGTGTTGGACTCATGAAACGTGTCGTACAACACATAGTGGTCAGCAGATCCAGTAATAGGATGACCATTTTCATCTGGTGTTTCTTTCTTTTCACGGAGCCATGACAGATGGGAAAATATCTTGCCCTCTCTGGCCATGGAGATGTTTTCCGTAGTTGGCTCAAGCAATCTTCCCTCAAAAGGCTGAAAGGGAACAATGTCAGGGGCCCTAATCACATTTGTATGTGCAACCAAACCTCTCGCAAAATCATAAATACATATATTAGGAAGATGTTTCCATGACAGAAGTAAATCTGCATAGTCTCGTGGGCTCTCAGCTCGAATCAGGAATTTTAGGCTGTACACAACACCACAAGGGCACATTATGGCACACCAACCACCTACATGAATACAGGAGGAAAAAAAACTGATGAGCAATCAAACCATGTAGACTTGAAATGCATATATTTACACTTTACAAAACACTGACCTGATGTACCCCATATTTTCTGGAAAATCTTGTCGTAGCTGTGCCGTGTTTGCATTTCACTACGCAAACGTGAAATGAGGTCCAGTTTTGATCCAACTGTGTCAAGACCACATTCCTTGCACAGTTTACGAACAACATCAACCTGATCAAAGTAGGATTAGGAAAATACATTTTGATGTGCCCCCAAACAAATGCATGTGAAACTAAACAAAAACATATAATTAAAATACATTATACAAAACAAATATACCTTTTGGTTCATGAGCTCCTCCATCAGTCTATCTTCTGTAACATGGTATACTTGGGACTCTTCAGACACCTTAGCAGTCTTCATCTTTTCAAATTCTGCGTTGAGCACCTCATTGGAGGACCTTGTTTTGTGCCCAATCCAAGGAGCCCAGAAATGGTAGGAGGGCAGTACCTTGAATGGATTCTGATTATTACCTTTGGACACACAAGGTTAGTATAAATAAATATTTCAGTTTTGTTTTTTAAAAATCTTGTCATTTGAATTGAAAAAAATTAAAATTAGAACTAAATACGAAGAAATATGGGATTGAATCCACAATTACTTGACACAAATCCCCGTCCAATCATCTCCAGGGACACTGCGTTCCAAAACGCCTCAATGTTTACCATTCCTTTGAAATCCTTCGGTGTCTCTTCAATGTCACTCACTATAAGAAACACAATGAAATATAAAAAAAATTGGGCACTGAATGGTTTAAATATTTGTCAAGTATGTCATATATGCAAAAGTTACCAGCCATGGAAAAAACTCCTTTCTTGTGTAAATCCATAATAACAACAGGTGGATGGTCGCCACATGAAGCACACGAGAAGTTGTATGTGTTGTCACAGAGGGCCTCAAAATGTAGGTATGCATGAAGACATGTGTCTGACGAAGGATACTTCACATCGTTAAGATTCTCCAGACTGTCAATAACTCGACTCACTGCAGAATGGGTCTAAATGACAGTAAATAAAATATTAAAGTAAAGCATAGAAATCAAATCAACAATGGTGGCGAGTCTTCCAATAACTACCTGAAGTGAACTCCTCAAAAAAAGACACAAATTGAGACTTATCAGAACATGGTCATTGAAGTTGTGTAGTTGATCTTTAAATTCTTGATATCGGTACATGGCACCACACATGATGCACTTCTTGCAGAATGTAGATACGTCTGAAAAATATTTTACATTTCAGAAAATACTTTAAATTAGACAACATACAATCACGTTCCAAAAGTAAGAATTGCAGTGAATACACCATTAGTGTCATTAATAAATTACTAATATTACCTTCTACTACGCCATTCATTGTAACAATTCTAGCTTTTGAGGTGATAAGAATTGGGTCAGAGAGTGGGGTCTTGTCATGACAGAAGGTACAGAACATCTCATCTGGAACCAGCAGTTTCGGAAAAGCGTTGTCATGGACTTGACAGCAAAGCTCTCTTGGAAGAATGGCTGGGATCTTCTTCTGTTCATAGAGGTATGTAACCATGTTTTTTAGCATTGTTCCATTTGGGGGGTAGTGTGTACCACCATCAGGCAAGTCATCATCATTTTCTGGAGTAGTCTGGTCCACTTCAATGCAGGTTTCTGTGCTCTTTTTGC